TTATTAGGGTTTAGTGGCTTTGGTCTGGCAATCTGGAAACCTGCTGCAAAGGTAGAATACCACAGGCTGAGGCCCACCTGAGACTCAGGGTGTGCGTTTCTTGGGAAAGCCAGGGTGGTTCAACCCCTTTGTTCAAGTTTTAGCTTGGCCCTCTGGATTAAATTGAGGTGGGCAGCAGAAACCCAGCAGAAGAAGCTTCAACAACCACAGCCCACCAACCCCCACCACAACCTAAAGTCACCAGGGGCCCAACCTCACCAACAGCAAATACACCATCAAACCATCTTAGTGTTTTTTAGGGTTTAGTGGCTTGGCCTGGCAATCTGGAAACCTGCTGCGAATGTAGAATACTACAGGCTGAGGCCCACCTGAGACTGAGGGTTTGTGTTGCTTGGGAAGGTGGAGGTGCTTGGCCGCCTATACTGTAGTATAGTTTAACTAAATTGCCAGGGGGCCAACCTCATGAACAACTATCTGAGTGCCACCCCCTGGCACCTAAGTAAGTTCAGGCCCAACGCTGAAGCCTGGAAGTCAGGGTATGTTACCAAGACCTCGAATTGAATAAAGTTCATAGGTTCTTATGGAGAAAGTTGCCTCAAGCTCCGCAATTTTATTATTTCGGTAGCAAGGGCTATGCTAAAGGTCGCCTTCAGACCTTTCTTATGGGCTTCCAGGGTGCTCACCCACAGCACCCCACATCCTTCGCTCACCTTTTGGTGACCCACATCAGGCCCCCTTCAACTACAATGGATCACATACCGCATCTAATCACAATAAAGGACGATTCCGCCCATGATCCGAGCATGATCCGACCATGACCCGAGACCGTCTCCCAACCGTCGTTCCGCGGAGCTTCCCCGTCGAGGTTCGGAGAAGCATGGAGGTTCACAAAGTGCTGTGCCTGCCACGACATCTGCACATGGAGGTTCACAAAGTACTGTGCCTGCCATGCAATCTGTGCCACGAACTCTGCACATGGAGGTTCGCTAAGTGCTGTGCCTGCCACGAAATCTGCACTTCAAGAAACAACTGAAACCTCTAATCACAATGGAGGGACAATTCCGACCATGACCCGAGACCGTCTCGCACACAGCGTTCCGCGGAGCTTCCCCGTCGAGGTTCGGAGAAGCATGGAGGTTCACAAAGTGCTGTGCCTGCCACGAAATCTGCACATGGAGGTTCACAAAGTACTGCGCCTGCCACGAAATCTGCACATCGAGGTTCACAAAGTGCTGTGCCTGCCACGAACTCTGCACATGGAGGTTCACAAAGTGCTGTACCTGCCACGAAATCTGCACATGGAGGTTCACAAAGTGCTGTGCCTGCCACGAAATCTGCACTTCAAGAAACAACTGAAACCTCTAATCACAATGGAGGGACGATTCCGACCATGACCCGAGACCGTCTCGCACACAGCGTTCCGCGGAGCTTCCCCGTCAAGGTTTGGAGAAGCATGGAGGTTCACAAAGTGCTGCGCCTGCCACAAAATCTGCACTGCGCCTGCCACGTAATCTGCACATCGAGGTTCACAAAGTGCTGTGCCTGCCACGAAATCTGCACATGGAGGTTCACAAAGCGCTGCACCTGCCAGGTATGCTGGAGCTAGAGCTATTGAAACTAGAGCTACAACTGGAGCTAGAGCTCTTGAAACTAGAGCTAACTGGGTGATGAGTGGTGTATGATGAGTGGTGTATGATGAGTGGTGTATTGATGAGTTGATGAGTGGTGTATTGATGAGTGGTGCATGATGAGTGATGTATGATGAGTGGTGTATTGATGAGTTGATGAGTGGTGTATTGATGAGTGGTGTATGATGAGTGATGTATGATGAGTGGTGTATTGATGAGTGGTGTATTGATGAGTGGTGTGTGATCACTTCTTGAATGTCCGTAACACGGAAGTTTCGTACACTAAACTTCCTTTGACCATAGTGATTGTCCATCAACCAGGACCTTCAAAGTGACCTTTTGAGATCTCAGAATGAGGTCACTTAGACCCTAAAGAGGCCACTTAGAGACGCCAAAGAGGTCACTTTGAAGGTCCTGGGAGATGGAATGAAATGATAATGAATGGGGTTCGGGGGCGATGCACCCAAATAACATCACCCACTGGAAAACTTTGGAGGAGTTTACACATGCTTGTCTGTTCATACGGAGACGTCCTGGCCTCGTTTTTTCCGAGATGACGCACTGCTGTTCTGAAAAAGAGGCTCGCCCGATCGGATGCGGACTTTGAGTGGGCCGACTGGCTGAAAGCCTGGTCGACAGCGAAACCCATCATGTGAGATCGGACGTGAGATCGGACGTGAGTCGGTGGGTGTCGGAAGTCTGTTTCTGAAGTCTGTACCCAGTCTGGTTCAATAGAAATGCTCAGTTTTCTCAACAAAACAAATCCTCTACACCTGTCCTCCAGACACTCTGCAGGGGTCCTTCAAAGCACAGAGAGATTGTCACGGTCATGCGGCACACAGAGCCGAGCCATGGCGCGGAGCCCTCCGAGTGAGGTCTTAGGATACCTCTGCGTCAAATAGAAGGTGTTCCTCCCCTAGGCAAGGCCGATATTTTCTGCTAGGCATGAGCTCTTTGGAGACCTGCCCTTTTTGATAGCCATTCTGCTCTTCATGAATGTTTTGGCGTTAAAATGGTACACTCCACCTTTCCAAAACATGTCCGGAACGCATTCTGGGAAGGATTTTCAGAGCGACGCAAGCATCCTGACCACCTCCGGAAAGGAGGGCCGGTCTCGACTTTCCTGCGCCCAACAGTGCTGCCTCAGCCATGGTGGATCTCAACAAGGGTAACAGGTTTGGAATGTAGTGGACAGGTATCAATCAAGGTGCGAAAAAGAAACACGTTCATGGGTCTTTGAAGGGAAGTGGAGGACATCCAGGTAATTAGCTACTGAAAATCTGGGAACGTTCTTTCATGGCAACGGTCACTCCCACCACATAGGGATATAGTTGTCGCATTTAGAACCATTTCGCGATCAGCATGGGTTTCTGATACGTTTTACAACCTTTCCCGCTTGGGGAAAAAGGACTGGACCACAAGTGGGTTGAAAGCACAACTGTGCGACAAGTCTCAAACTTCAGTTCAACTTCTGGTCAAGGTAGCGTTAGCGTTACGCAAATCATCTCAAACATAATGGATAAACACACACCAAAAAAAAAACATTCGTTTCTCCACCTTGCTATCGATGGTCAAATGCAAACGTGAGTTTTCTGTGGAAAGAAAAATCGCTTACCACCCCAAACTGAGGAAGGCATACTCTATGAAAAATGTGGTGTCACAGGAGATGGCATGCATAAATCGAGGTTCTGTGCTGATCACCCTAAAGTAAGGCTCCCACAGAACTTGCATAGCAGTCACACCCTTGGCTCTAAAGGCCAACCCTCCCAGCAAGAGTAACTCCGACAACATGGGTTCCTGCAACACCCCGGCGCTCTTGCCTTGCACAGCCGAGTAGCATCACCTGCACAAGTGTGGGCGGTGCATCGGGAGGCACGGCATCCATGTCCGGACGCACCTCAGGCGCTGTGGGGAGTGGCGGAATATGGCGCGTGTGGAGAATGGTATCCGGCATAGCTGTGACCGAAGTGATTGATGGATATGGTGATGGATGGAAACAGAACTCAGCTAGCGATGGCTTCATGTGGTACCATGAGCCCCTCAACTAGATTCGGATGTGACAGCCATCTATTTTTAGCACCCCGTGTCAAACCGAGGGATGTGCTGGGACAAGACTCGCTTTCCAGTCTCAAGGCCGCTCGAAGGATCGCTTGCCGCTGCAGACGAGGCGCTCCCGCGAGGGTATACTTCCCCACATCTGCGGGCTCCTGGGCAACCAAGGACCCTGTTCAGCACCTTACCCATGAGAAATCAAAGCCTTCGGGTTCCGAGTAAAGTGTGGCCACAAGACGGAATCTTAAACGAACTGAAGGGGCCAGCAGGTGTGTGAAACTTACCCTCTTCAATTTGTTTGTGAAGTGGGAAAGCGCTTCAGCCTGTTTTTGGTGAGTCTGGTTTGGTTGTTTGATCCCGACACTTGCTTGCATAGCAGCATCAATTGTTTCTTGCTTGCGGTGGTCGCCCAGCTGCAGGCAAGGCCCAGGAACCCTGCGTTCTCATCAGTCAAGCACCAGTTTGTCATTATTTTCAAGGATCCTGCCCAAAGTCCCCAGCCTAGGATCCTGCCCAAAGTCCCCCAGCCTAAGATTCAAAAGTTGACTTGACAACGCCTTGACAACGATCATGGGAATCACGACTTGCTGCTCACATCTCTAAGACGCATTCTATCATTCTCATGGATGGAGCGAAATTGATGCAAGTTCGGTCTGCTTGATGAAAGAATTGAGATTGAAGCGGCGAAGCCGGCCGAGAGCGGCCCCGACCTTCCGCCGATGGCCGCCCTCTGCCACTGGCGGAGAACTGGTGCCCGCAAAGCAGTGTCCGGCGCAAGGTGGGACAGCCACCGGCGCCAGCGCGTGGCGGCGTCAAAACGCCCTCTTCCACCGCTTTTTTAGCAAACCTCTCAGTGGTGGTGAAGGCGACATCGTGGCACGGGCCACCCCTCTTTTCTCTTCACGTCTTTCTTTACTTGCGTCACCACTTTCTGTTTGAAATGATTCCCCACCACTGCGCGATCAGCGCTTTATGCGCCTACAGTCGTAAGTCAATTAGGCATCGGCGCGTCCCGAACAGTTGGAGCAATCTATCTCCACTCCACGGATCCTTTAGGCACTCCAGGAGGCGAAGATGGCCATGCCATCAACTGGCGCAACGACCCAGGAACAGTTCTTCAAATCCACTGACAGCGTGATTGCGGCTATGTAGAACGGGGAGGCTTTGCTATCCAAAGTAATTTGCTCTAAGCAAAATTAGACTATTCACCATGGTTGTACTTTTGCTGGGCAGCTTTCAACTCAGCAGAAGATCCTCTGAATGTAGCCTCCACACTGTGCTCCGAAGTTTTCCACGAAAAAAAGACCCATTGCGTGGCGACACTGTAAACAAATCATACACCTCACCTCTATTCCCTTCACACCCCACACGCCTGCAACGTGAATATCAAATTTTCAAGGGGTGTGGATGCCATGGCTAGCCACAGAACCAGACTACCATAACTACAAAACGAAGGCGGTCTTTCACACACCGGACCTTATTGCTGAATTGCCTTGGCAGCTGACGATTGCAGGAAAATCAATGAAGCTATAGTATGCTTATCACACCATCTTGGATGATTCCACTGCTCACAACGGCTCCAGCATTGCTCCCGACTCACTCCGAAACTTGTTCCAGAACTTGCTCTAGAACCTGCTCCGGGACCTGCTCCAATCTGCTCCAGTTGAAGACCCCTAAGCTTCGCTGTTGAGGGATAGAAAACCCTCTTCAATAGGTGAAGATCAGGGCAAAAACACAAAAATCCGCAGCACCAAGAACGTGAGCGTGAGCAGAACGGGGCCGGCGTGCTCCTGAGGATTAGTTAACCATCGTTTTGCGAGAAATGGCCAGACCTTCTCGTGGTTCAATTCGCCCTTGGCGCGCAGAATGTGGCGATTCCGCCTCATGGTACCAGCTTTCCGACATGCGCGCGCACGCGGGACCGAGTATGGTGAAAGCAAGGACTTCCTGTTCACAAAGCTCTCTGCTCCTGTCCTGCTTCTGTCTCCTGTCCTCCTCCTGTCTCCTGTCCTGCTCCTCCTCTCCTCACGTCCTGCTCCTCCTGCTCCTGCCTCCTCCTCTCCTCCTCCTTCCTGTCCTGCTCCTCCTCTCCTCTTGCTCCTGCCTCCTCCTCTCTTCCTGTCCTGCTCCTCCTCTCTTCTTATTTTTGGTGGGCCTCCTGCGACCCTAACATGAACCCCCGAAAACAACATCACACGCCCCCCGCCCGCGGCCGCTCTGGCCCCTAAAATCCGGCGACGCCGGTCCAGTGACCCTATCAAGCTAGCTTGCTATATGGAGACGCGCTCCATGCCACCGACCCACATTTCTAGCATCACCAGGGCTCATGTGGCTTCGTCAAAAAAACATCAAAAATAGCTGGAAAATGACCAATAATGGCAACTGTAAATCCTATAGCTTCAAAACCTCTAGAAACAAAGCATTGAACATGGAAACTAATTTTGAGAACAAAATTTGGGTCGAGCATCATTAGCATCAGCAGTGTCTCAGCAGGAAAGATGCAAATCGTTCGGGGCTCGGGTGGCTGCTTTGAGGGGTTGGTTTGGTGCATGACTAGGTGTATGTAGTTTATGATCAGACGGCTTTGAAGCTATAAGCCTTACAAAGTCCTGACTGCGTGTTACGCTTCTATTCGTGACTTTTTTGAAGAAGCCATATATAAGCTGCTAGAAATGTAGGCCGCAAACGGACATTTTGAACATCACCAGGACGTATGTTTTATTGAAAAAGTGTTCATCAAAAATAGATGGGAAATGTCAAAAACAGTGCTACTGTAAAGCTGTATCTCTACAGAAGAAGGTAGGCAAAGAGGAGAGGAAGTTTTGAGGCAGAATTTGTGTCGAGCACCATTGGCATCACCAGAGTACGAGTAGCATTGTTCACATAAAAGCCAAATTCCTTAGCAGTTTGGAGGGCGCTTCCATGATTTTTTGTTACGGCTAAGCACAAAACACTGTAAATTAAAGTGTTATAAGTTATAGGTGAGTTTTTGTAGTTTATTGGATAGTTGTCAATGAAAGTGGAGACCTTTGGACAGAAAGCACTTTTAATGTTCGAGATGACTTGCTCTAGGAGAGAGAGAGTCTCTACACGTTGATGGCTTTGGGCGGATGAGACTAGTGAAGATCCGATAATGTTGGTGATGCTGACCATGTTGGATCTTCGTTGGAACTGAAAACTGTTGATGTGATGTCTATTTTCGGTTGACGGCTAGGCTAAAAATGCTGTAAAGTCCTAGGGCTTCTCAAAGTTCGAGTGAAAAAAGGCAGCATGCAAGGGGACAAAAACAGCGTAAACCAGGGCGTTGATAGGGTTGGCGTGGAAAGCGCTGAAAAAGATTGTATTTTAGAGCATTGTCTAGCCTAAAGCTATCTGTGTTTACAGGGTTCGCTGACGCAAAGATGGCTCCAACTTCGCCCATTGGGCGTGCCCGCGCCCGCGCCCGTGCGTGCGTGTGCGTTCGCGTGCGCGAGTGCATGTGCGTTGGTGTGCGTGCAGGTGCGTGTGCAGGTGTGCATGTGCGTACGTGTGTCTGAAGCTGAGGTTGCCAGGCTTTTTACATCAGACCCTCGTGCGCACACCTGTGTGGGAGTGTGTATGCGAAGGCGTCAGAAAAGCTGTACTAATCGTCCATTTTCCTGCGGATACGCGCAGTCCCCCAAAGGGCGTCGCCGGTTGGCGATGTCAGTAGAACTGTTTTGATTGTATTTTGCTATAGTCCTTCTTTCTCTCATTGCCAAAGCTACGAATTGCCTTGAGAGACATGGAAGTGGACAACACCTGTTTGTAGAGGAAAATGGTCATCCGTTTGGGGCCATGCCATCCAGGTAACCATGATTGTTGCAGATTGTTGCAGGGAGGGTATCCGAAATTGACGCTATTGACGGGTGTTTGGGTGGTTCAGGTGTAAGATTTCTTACGTCCACAGCAGGGACTTTGAAGTGTCTGAACATCTTCACATGGGGGATCCACTGTGCCAAATGGGTTCCTCTCAGTGAAGCAGCTGCCCCTTCTCTCACGATAGTATCCAGCAAACTTGATCATTGACCCATGAATCCCCCTCCTAGCAAGCAATGGATCAGACTCCCGTTTTGGTTGACCCTGCTGACGGCCCCTCCAGACGCTGGCGTCGGTCCACACCCAACGACCGCCGGACCGCCCAACCGAAGGTGAGGCTCCTCCTGCTCGAAGGGGACCTCACGACACACAATCTCGTAGACCACCATGGCGTAGGAAAAGACGTCCACCTCGAGGTGACGGTGGTGACTGGCACCAGAAGAAGGAACCAGCGACACTCGCGAAGCGACTCCCCCTTCATGAGTTGGTGCTTTGGTCAGCTATGACATGTAGGACCCAAACGTGACCCTGGACCTCCTAAGTAGGGGTCCGGACCCGAACCAATCCCTAGGGTTTTGCGGGAGCAAGAGCTGTTTGGAGCGTCTGGGTAGCTGGAATATTATATTGCTTGACCATCAAGTTCACAGCCAGCAAGTGCTACTAGAATCTAGTAGACCGACCTGGCAAATGTCAGCTGCAGTCTTTCTGGTGACGAGCTGCTGAGCAGAATGCATGTGCAGAAGAAGAAACTGTATGTGCAGGGCAGAGATTCTGTGGGCAGAAATGTGGCAGACTACACTCCCTGAAATCATCCATGGTTACGTGGATCGCCTCGCCTCACCTGTTTGGAACGTCTCCGACCTCGTTTGGGGGTTCTAAGCCACCGTCCCATGAGTCCGACCCCCAGAGAGTGTACTAGACATGTCAGCCACATCCAGAATCTCAACGGAATTGACTTGAAGCGAGTCTTGTTACTTGACCACGGAATGAAGGTTGTGGCCCAGCATGAGCTCGCATGAGCTCTGCTCTCGCTACAAATCGTCGGATTTTCCAAACCGAGCTGGTCAATCTGCAGGGCCAATCGTCAGGTCTCAGGGGGACGCTTGATTCCTCCGCCGAACCGGATCCAAAGCGTTCCGGATGGATTGGACAAGCAGGATCTGGTGGTGGCCCCTGGACAAGCAGGATCTGTGGTGTACAGGATCTCAAGCTGCCAGCTTGGGTTCCAACCCCATTTGTTTCTGGTGATTTTTTTGGAGCTTCCAGGCAGTTCTTCTTTTACTTCGTACAGTCTAGCCGGTAGCCGGCTCATGCAGGGTTCCAGGCAGACAAGAAACCAGACTACATATATAGACTTCCCCTGCCCCACTCCTCCACCCCCAACTCCACCCCCAACTCCAACTGCCGCGCCTTTTCGTCGTATTTGGTCCCTCTCCACATTTCGGGCGCCATCCAATGTTTCGTTCCTGGCGCGACCGCGCACCGAAAGAGTCGAAACAGAAAATGCCCGGACGTCCGGAGATAGGTGGGTGGGAGGTGACCCCAAAATCATCTCAAAATGCAAAAAACATTGGTGGAAGTGGATGGTTTTTTGGAAAGACCGACTATGACCGACCACATGTTTTTGGAAAGACCATGAGTGAAATCCAAAGACCCGGAAAAATGGGGGGGTGAACTCCATGTGCCAGTTCCCGGGGGGGGGGAAATCAACTGCAGCCAATCCTCCAAAGATTGGAAGATGGATGAACCTTGCAGGAGAATCACTCTCACTGTTCCCACGAAACAGTGGAGCTACTGGACGCTGCTGGTCACGAATTCCAAGTGCAACAACACTCCAACTATAGAGATTTGATACACTCCAGATCACTGAATCTTCATGCGAGCTGGTTCTCACTTTTCCTTGGTCAAAGCGTTTTTTGCATCCGAAACTCAAAGTGAATGGCTGGATCTTACTTCAGCAGGCTACTGCAAGAGTTCTGCTTGGTTTTCTGGGCGTTCAAGATCTTTTGAGTACAAGACCCCCAAAAAGAATCTGTTCAGCACTCTGCATTCTCTGTTCATGCATCAAAAGGATGATTCACTCTATTTCAGGGTCACATCTACTAAACCCTGAATCCCCACCAATCCCAAGGCACCACCACTCCGGCGACTCCGGCGATACAGCGAGCCGCGCCTGCTTGCGCGGTCATCTGCCCCCAGCCTTCAGGGCTGGCTTGCCTTGATGGCACGGCGCATGCGGCATGTCATGGGTCTTGGGCGCTGTGTTTTGTTTCAGGTGCCCAAAATAGGTTATGGGGGCTTTATCAGGTCCATGGTTTGCACCGTCAAAACATCAAGGACAAGTGACAAGAGAGTCCTAGACCATCTTAGACCATGAGAAAAGAAGACCTTTAAAAGGACGGAACGAACCGTGAGTCTTAGACCGCCTCTCTCTGTACGAGTCATCATGCCCTATCTAAAAAACATGGTCTTCTTCGAGACTTCTCCCAACTCACTTGCAAAATCTTCACCTCCCTCCACCCCTGCCAACACCGAGGTGCAGTTTGGCCACGCCGAAGTCGCAGACCTTGACCACCGGCTCATCCTGGCGGACGCGCCGTGTAGTAGCGGACGTTCCGGGGCGGGGAGATCGATCCCCAAAAAGAAGAAGATGATTTGAGAAAGAGAGGCCCTTGCTCATATGTGTCGTCACACCCTGTTCTTGGACGACTTGAGTTTTTCTTACGCGCCCCCAAAATTGCGAAGCACACGCCAAGTGTCTGAGGGTGTCCTTTCCTTTTCGTGCCAAGTCGCCGTGGGCCCAAAGACGGGGCGATCCAGAAGGAGGTTCAACCTGAACCCGCCAGCACGCCGAACCATCGGTCGGTCACGTGGCCCGGGGGAAAGCTGTTTCGGACATCTTCTGCCGGGCAAAAAGGGAAAGAAGGAAGTCGCGGATGAAACCAAAAAGCCAAGCACATGCTGAGATCCAATCTGTGCGGTCCAATAGGTCTTGAGGTCTGGGGGGCCTCAGGATGACAAGCATGTCCCATCCCTTAGGGTCCAGGTACCTCCGTACGAAACGGATGGTCGAACGGAGGTGAGTTCGGTACGAAAACAGAGAATGGTTGAACTGGGGCAGAACGTAGCACATCCGAGCAACGGATGGTCCTGGACCCTTATTATAGGGTGTGAGAAAAAAGACGTCACGTAGAGCTGCCAGCAGGATTTAGGTCCAAAGACTACACCCAAATCCTTAAAGCCAACCCAGCAGACCAGCAGCAAGGGATCTGGGCATCTCCAGCGGCTCTCCAGCTCTACCAGCAGCTCCATAGAGCTGGGTGCTATCGAGATTCGGGGAGCCCCTGTCACATCCACAGCCCCTGGATGGGACGAGCCACACCGAGCGAGCGACCTGTGATATCTCCCGGTTGCTCCGTCTGGGCAAGCGTTCAATGCGTCCGATGACCTGACCTCATTCTGATGTATCCTATAGACCCAACTCTCGACCTAGGCCCCCCCAAAAAGGCCTCTCCCAAACGCGTCCCTGGACAGTTTGCTTTCCAACAAATTCTGTAAACAGATTCCCAACTGGTGTCCAAAAGAGTAGCCCCCTAGACCCAAGAAGATCCATGCCAAACTTGCTGCCCCCGACCTTCCACCCCCCCCCCGGTGCTTCACTGCACTTCACGTCGCGTCGCACGGTCCATCTCCGCCTTTCGAACCGCGCGGTCAGTGACGTCGCACGTGTGCCGTCGGCTGCTTCATCACCCGAGCGGCGACTTGAGGTCCCGGTGGATGATCATCGGATCGAAGGTGTGCCTCGCTGTCCGAGTGTCACTTTGACGCGCGAGACCGACACACATCCAGCCACAGGCCCAGCAAACACGCGCCCACGTCAAGGGGCTCCAGGAAAGGTGGTTCACTAGAAGGATGTTTACGTGTGTCAGCGTCAAAATTATTATACGGATGTTTTCCCTTAGCCACATGAAACGCTCTTTACAAAAGTTGTCTTCGATAATTTTGAGGTTGACTCACCCGGGGTTTTTACGGAGGGGTCCTTGTTTCATTTACATGCTGTTTAGACGGACCAACCGTAACCCAGGTCAACCATCAATGGTGGAACGGAAGCCGACCGGGCCTTCCCTAAAGAGGAGTCGAGGGTCGGTGCCAACGTGAAAAAGATAGCGCATGTTCGAAGGAAAACGCTTAGAAGACGCTTTCTGGGTGGTGAAATCCTTGAGTTGGATCCATGTGATGTGAGACATGAAGAAAGAAGATGGGCCTTGACGGCTTTATAGGATAGCCGGATCGAGACCCTTTGGTGATTTCGGAGCTCGCCGGAACGTCAATGGAGGCATGATGATCCCAGTTTTTTGAGCCTGAATGGTTGTTCATCCTTGACACCAAAGGCAGGGAAGATCCCAAGATCACTAAGATCCCACAAATATACCTTTGAAAGTTGGTCAGGAGCCTTTCAATCCGAGTGGATGAGCTGCACTTTCAACCTCCAATCCAAAGTCATCGTTCCGTAGAAGGATGGAATTCAAGTGTTGACCTTCGCAACCAAGTTCAGCGTTGATCATGTTGTACTTGGTCGTTTGCTGCCTTCAGTCTGACTCTGCCCCACTGTCGATGTAGAGCGCACTCCTGATGTTCAAGAGTCAGACCCGTTTCATCGATGTCCACCCTGCTTTGGTCAGGGCAGCGTCTCAAAGTCACTGATTCTTAAGACACATCCCGCCGGCCGTGGATTCCTTTGCCGCCAAAAAAAGCGCTGAGTTGGTGGCTGATCAAACATGATTGATACTATGATTGATAAATCCCCCCCCATACAAAGATGATTTTCATGGCTCATAAAAATATCCGCCCATCCGGTCTGCTCGGCACAGATGCAAATAGCACATGGCGGCAGCGACGTCTTTGCCTTGGACAGTGACGATTGACTCGAGCCTCGAGCTAGACGAACTAGACGCCCCTACGAAAAGCACCTCACCAGCACCTTTTCCAGACTTCATGAACATCTCCCCAAGGATTATATACGCCCCTTTCACTGGTCTTGGAACGATTCTTCGGGCGAGCCAGCGTCATCCTGGCCAACAAGAATGGGCAACCCAACAAGTTCTGGTCCTCTCAATGCTTTATTCGTCGCTCTAAGAGGATAAACCTTCATGCCGATGAGGGTAGAAAGCCCAGTGAGTCCTCGAAAAAATGCCCCCCCCCCCCCACGGGGGACACTTCAAGGATCTTCAAGGGCTTAGATTCATTGGGGGAGTTGGTCCACTAGCAGATGTATGGCATCTCAAGGGTCACTATAGAGCCATGGGAAATGCCGAGTTGGGTGGGAACTTGTGCCATTCTTGGGGCCAATTCCTGAAAAATCCCAGCAACACCTCCACCCCACCACCCAGCACGCTCCATCCATCGCACCAGGTTATAACCTGCCAGCCGGTTCCTGATCCCAGGGTCTTCCCTCCGGGTGTCTCCCAACACCTCCGCCGCGGTCCGTCGACCCACGACCCAGCACCCGAGACCGTCCGCGGGGCGCGCGCGGGAAGGGTCGTTTCTCGGGTGGGTCAAGGGGCACATCTTGATCTGTTGCGGCCAGATGAGGTCCACCTCATCCGAGTTGTGCAGCAATTCAAAGCACGCGCCGCCTTCACCTGAGGTCGGGACTGGAGGAGAGGACGGGAGTGATGGTGACGGTGACGGAGGACGGGTGTTCAAAGAATCGCCCGTGGCTGTCGAGGTGGAGTGAGTGATGACGCAGAACTGACTTTAGTTGGAGGAACCGGAGAACTGGGTTTTCTGAAGAACGCCAGTGGCTGTTGATGTGTGAGATCCTGCGAAAGAGAGTCTGTGTACTTCCAGGTTTCTCCCAAGAAGTTCACCAATAGTACACATTGAAGTTACACTTCGAAGTTCAGGCAAAAATAAACGAATCCCCGTCCAGGTTTGTGTAGATGGCCTATGCTTGTTCCACTTGAAGGTATAAAGGCTTAAAGGCTCATCATCGCCAGGTCGCAAAATTCGGTAATGATGCGCAAGGGAGGCATGTCGATGCAGACGCCATAGAATTTCACCAAGTTCTCATGCTGCACCTGGACCGCGGGACGGCTCGGACACCAGAAAAAACGTTGACAGCTCGCTGCGTCCCATGTTTCAAACCATCTTCCTTCCTCATATGGTGAGTCAAACCCTCCCCCACCCAAACCTCAAAAAAAGGGAATCGATGCATTTGATCCCTGCTCAACTGGGTGCCCAGGTGTATTGCTGACCTGCCAAGATGGTCTCCACAGTCGACTGTATCGACTTCATGCCACCTCTGAACACCGCGATTGAATTCCCCCCCTGGCGCTTCCTCGCTCGACTTCCTCGCCTCGCCTCTCGATTCCAAACCGTTTCTGATCCCCTAGGGCTCCTGGCCCACCTGCTGAGAAGATGCCAGGGGTGGGTGCCAGGGGGGTCTAACCACCTCCTGAGGATATGGGCCAGGAGCCCAAACGGGATCAACCGGAACCGACGAAACCGATACACCACCGAAGCCGGTCTGACCCCTCGCTCGACCGGTCTTAGGACCAGGAGACCCGGACCCTCGAGCCCGGTCGGAGAAGTCGGAGCGACAGGCCCGACCTGGGTGAGGATGTGCATCTCCCGGGCGAAGGCCAATTGCTCGTCCGGGCGGATGGCGCTGCGCTCCGTGATGGCCTTGATGGCCACCACCTGCGTCTTCGGTCGAGCTCTTCGGTCGAAATGAGAAGTTCAGATGTGGCTCGTTTATGCGCGTGGTTTTCGTTTCAAGTTCAAGACTGGAGCCAGTGATTTTGGAGGGCGAACAGATGCGAAGATTGTGGTTTCGGGGCATTCAGATCTGCGATTACAACCCTCGATGTTCACTATTTCTATAAATGAACACTTGTATACCAAAATGAGAAGTGATCAAGTGATCTCCTAGTCATGCCATGTAGAACAGCTCTTCTTCCCCATCCCAAATTGGTCCTCTTCCTTTTCCTCTCCCTTCCTTAGGACCCTTCCGTTTCCCGCACCTGGCCGATGCGCGTCCAGTGGCCTTGATAGACCTCACTGGTGACCCCTGAGCCGATGCACTTGGTGGCAATGAGCTCGCAGCTGGGAATCTCAATCTCCTCATCCACGTTGAAGCCTTGCTGACCACAGGTCCACGCACCGGGTAAAAGTCACCGCAGGTGTCCAGGTTGGGGCACCCCGAAAACGGGCTCTAATTGGTTGTTGAAGCTTTAGGATGCTTGATTGTCTGGCTGTTTATTTTTCCAGCTGGGAAAACCTCAATCTCATTTTGGCTCGCTTGGGATGTTTATGGTGTTTTGTTTTGGGGGCGTTCTTTCTTTGATGTTTCTTTTTGGGGGGGCTAAGCGTTCGGCAGAGGAGGGAATGACGAAACATTTAGAAACCACACAGTCCAACAAAAGAAGTACGCTGGGGCATGAAGATTGAACGCCCGAACGCGATGAGGAGGCGCCGTTCGACAAAGGGCACTGTCATCCATGACCTGAAATCCTACCCAACTTAGCCATAAACCAACTAAATTCATCCACTTACAATCAGGGTGTTCGCTTCGATGATAAGTCAGGAATCCCCTCTTTGGATGGTGTTCCCACACGAGAGCAACACGAAACGGAACCTATAGACCTATCGAAGGTGCCGCGCTTCTCTAGTGGGAGCAGTAGACTTTCTACTCAGGGGGCACCCAACAACGCAAACAGAAACTCCTTGTTCGGTCCCAGTTTTCCACGCCTTCAGTGTTCTCAGTTCTTCGAAGTTGAAGTTGTTCCAGTGACACGCCAAAAACCGAAACGAGTCTTAGAGGTCTTTTCCATGCCGTTGTCTGGAAAGAGAGAGCAAAAGCTCCAAAGAAGAGCCCCAGGGCAGTGTGGTTTCAGTGTCCCAAACCCGTCGAGTTGCTCATGGCGCCCACCCCGACCCTCGGCTTCGCTAACCGCGAGGTCGACGTGTTGTCCACAGTGCTCGAGCTAAAGTGCTGCAGCCCGAAAGCGGGCACGGGCACGGCGCGGGGAACGTGTGGTGGGCTCCCAGTTTCTGCAACCGCTCGGGCTTCGTGCGGTTTGTTGAGACTTCAAAGACATGGCCTCCTGAAGTCCTGAAGCGGTTTTGTTTCTTGGAGATTTGAGCTTGGGGTGTCCTCTCACTCGCAAGAAAAACGATCAACATGTCAACTTGGGATGAAGTAAATTTTCCCAAAGCGTTTGGTCCAGTCTTGTTCCCTGCACTACTGGCCACCTTTAACAAATAGTCAAACAACTTATGGCTATTTCTGGCTCATTCTTCAGCAGCGTATTGTTTCGGGTACCCACAACCCCTCCAATTAGTTTGGTCCACCTGTCTGTGTTTTTCGTTTAATTCACCTATCCGACTTATCCCTCATCCCACGGTCCCATAGCCGTTTCACCCTTTCACTCCCGTTCTCAAACCTTACTTGACCCCAAAAAACCTGTTGAAGGGCCGGGGGACTCCTCCACATTCTTTGGGGCGTGGGTCTCCACATGGTTTGATCCCAGAACCTTCTAGACTCTAGACAGACGACTGACTAGAGACCCTTCTGGAAGGGGTTCATCCAGCCTAGAAACATGGCGCTGAACTCGACCGGGTTGTTCTTTCTTGGTATCTGTTTCACCACACCTCTTTCGCCCCAAGGGGCTTCAGAACCTCCTCATAGATCCTCATCCCCCAATCAGCTGCTACGACCCGTTCGTGCGACGAGACGACCCGACCCGAGCGGTCCAAACCGCCTGGTCCTTTGGGGGGATCCTGCTTGGGTGGTCTCCGGGTATCTACGGAGCAAAACCAACCAGTAGCAAAAGGCCAACAGATGGTGGTGCCCCTCATCCAAATCGCTAACTTCATTGAGCAGGCTGCCCATTCAGACTCGAAAGTAACTAATATGCCAGAAGGGTGTGGAAGGGTGTTTGTTTGGCTGTCTCAATCTTCCTAAACAAGTGGATGCTTATGTCCCATCGCTCCAGCTCCCACCTGGTCTCCCAGAAAAACTTCATCCAAACCGCTTGCCTTCATCTTTAAGCTTTGATCCCTCTTTTGGCTTCACCGCCTCTTGAACATGGTTACTTAACTTCTCTCCCTCACTCCCTCCCCACAAAAACAGAAGAAACCACCCCAAACCGACCCACCCCTCCACCGGTCACTTCACACCGTCCCCCCGTCCACTGGGACCGCCCGGCCAGGTTCCCCGAGTCGGAGGAGGCGTTGGCGATGACCAGCGCCGCCGCGCGGCGGATGTCGATGTTCTCCTCCGAGTTCACGATCCTCCAGGAGACCGCGCGCGCGCGCGCGCGGTCGGGGCGTCCGCGGACCGGCGGTCGAGCCGTTACGGTTGCGGAGGGGGGAAGACCGGAAGGCGGAAGAGGGGCGGGGGGAGACCGGCGGCTGGCGGGAAGAGCGGAGGTTTGGAGGGGCGGAGGCCGGCGAATTGGGGTTGGTTCGCTACGGGCTGTTTTTGGTTGTTGGTTTGGATTCATTCGATTTGGAGTCCTATGGACATTGAACATCAAAAAGGGGCATGTTCCGAAATAGTAATTCGCCTCCGGCCATTGCTAGGTGGAAAGTGGTTGATTTCAGGATGGCCCGATTGAATGACACACACTCGGATGGTACCCAGAATCACATGTCATCGGTGTCATCATGTCCACCACAAAAGTTTGATGACACACCAAGAGCCTGTCTTTGGGATTGAGGAAAAGGCTGTTCATGCCAAAGGACCCACACCAAGAAGTGTCTATAAATAGCCGGCTTACTAGTGCAGATTCGGGGTGTCCCAAAACCACCGGGCGATCGAAAGGAAGGTCCTGGTGGTGGTGGAAGGTCAAACAGAATCAAAACCAAATATCCTTTGGAGTCGAAACTCGAAACAAAAGAATCCCGCAATCAATGGATCCCGGGCGCATCCGAGCAGGCTTCATCTCTGTGAACCCGCGAGCAGGGGAACCCTTCACATCCCTTCACTCAGCGCCGGACTCAGACTCGGTGGGTCCCAAGAGGTGGCGCTTCCCAGGATCGAAGCGTTCTTCTTTGAGGGAACAAGAAGGGTAGCACACTAGCACACTGATTGGGTGGTTACCCACCCAATCCGTGTGCTATCATGTGCTAGTATTAGAACATATTAGGACATCTTCCTTTTAGGTAATCGACTTGAGTCTTTCCTGTGCCAGAGGAACCATTGGACGATATTGCCAGCTGTTAAAGCATGAATCTGCACCACCAGGGTCGTCACCATGGCAGGCCTTCTGATCATCCGATGCCAAACCCGTGGAGACCGCACCGCACCGCTTGTCGCAGGGCCCCTATGGGAGGTCGAACGGAGGTCCGAACGAAATCGATCCGAAAGATCCAAAGGAGTCTGTCAAGGAGTGTCTAGACTCTCGCTTCAGCAGGGCTGAAGGCCCGAACCACCGCCCGGACCACGGAACCCCCCCAACAAAAAAACCGTCCCCCTTCCTTCACCTTCTGACCCACCGCCCCAAACCCCTTCCCACGGGCTAGGTTCACCCGTCAGAAGGAAGCACGAACCCCAACGGACTCTGACCGGTCGAGGGGTGGCCCAAGCGGCAAGAACATCAGGTCAATGATGTCGCTGGTCTCACCATCCGGCCGCGGTGCGACCGCGAGAGGTGGGTCCGCGAGAGGTGGGTGGCACAGTGGCGAGGCTGGGAGGTGGACAAAGGACATCGAGGAAACCGTGGTTCGGACATGCTATAGAGCATATATATAGGGTACCCTCGGTTCGCAACACAATCGGACATGCATGGAGCATATGATACCTGGATCTTCCAACGATCATGCCAAATTGTCAGCCTTTCCATCCATAAAACCAGCCCAGTTAGGCAGAAGTTTTGGCATGTCGTTGGAAGATCTAGGGTATACGCTTCATTCTTTTTTCTTGGGGCAAAGGCATCTATAGTTGCTGCCCCCGGAAGCTCGTCTGCCCCTTGATGACGACGGTTCGAACAGTCCAAAGGAACCCGTTTGACATCTTGGATTGCTTCAGGAACCGGCAAAGAATAAAATGGCTCCCCACACCACAGAGGATTCACCCACAGAAAGTCAAGAATCGCCCTAAAGCAAATCCAGGAGATGCGTCCGGTGTTCCTTAACCTGTCTCAAGTGTTTCCAACCACCGCATGGGGGGACCTCTTGGAACCTCGGAGGCGTGAACCTTGGGGGAAATTCGGGTCACGACTGGGAGAGACGACTGGCAGCAATGTCGGTGGTTCCAACTCGCTTGAAAAACACCATGAGACAAGAAACCACCACCTACATACACCACCTACATCCACCTGTAACCACCTACATCCAACTCACTGGTTTCAGATCACTGTAAAAGGTTGAAAAAGAGATCTGAAACCACCCACCCAGATTGGGATGCTGATGTGAACACAGAGCGGACCTCCCAGACCACCTACCAGCTTTGATGGCCGTCTCATCCCTCTCATCTGCTCGCTCCCAGAAAGCTCCCCCAGCTACGCCTGAAGTTCCATGAAATGGAACACCTGAACACCTTCCCTTGCCAAATGCGGACGCCACTCCTCATTTCTATCACCCTAGAAGCAGAAAATCCAGGAGCTGGGATGAGTTGGGAGGGTATGAGGGCTCCTCCACCCAGTAGAACTATGACTTCAGGTTTGACGACGGAAGTGGAAAACACCGTCAACAACCCAAGAAGATCACTTCTATGTGTCTTCGATTTGTTCATCAGGGGAACAAAAAGATTTCCATGTTTGCTCAATGTAGGGTGTGAAAACAATACAGAACTACAACCACTTGAATGACTGGAATGACGATGAGAAGGCACCATGCTTGATGAGATGAGATCCAGTTTCAGTGGATTCTGCACACCGAATCGGTAAGCCCTGGCAGCGTTCCAAAAAACCGCCAACCCTACCAAATACGTATACAGCATGTACATTGAGTGAGATTTGTTTGTTTCTGACGTAAGAAAAAAATCATCAAGACTCATCCCAGGTCTACTTCGGGCATGTGCCCAAAACAAACGGTCCCCACGCCTTCAACCACCCACCAGTCACATATATATCCTACCTCCACATATATGGCACCGGACCCATGTTCGGTCCATCTCCACCGAAGTCACTGTGGGTGTGGTCGGATGCGTGGCACACACCTGGACGGAACGGTTCGCTCACTCGCTCCCTCGGCACGACTCGGCGTCGGCGAGAGGCGAGTGGGGACGTGGGTGGGAATCAACAGGTCGGGTGGTGAAAAGACTCCAAGGTCGGTGTGTTGCTCTGCATGGCTTGAATTGTTTGCTCATACCAAACCATGTGGAAACAACACCAAACCTATACCAAATAGCACATCCACTCTGAGACTGGATCATGAGTGTATCCCGATCCTCCAACTCCGTGGGGTTGCTGCAGAACGGCGACAAATCTGCTGCAGAACGAGGTCCCCCCGGGTGGATGGCCGCGGAACCAGGGTGGACGGCCGCACGGTTGGCTTTGTACACTCCGCGAGCGTGTGGAACAGGTGGGTGTGGATTGAAGATGATTGAAGTACTCCAAAACTCCCTGGTCGGCGAGGAGTTCGACTGACAGAAACCTCATTTGTGGATGGACCACGACGACGACCACGATTTCTGCTATAGCTGGTGTAGTGGGTGGGGGTTTTGGGAGACGGCGTCAAGCTTACCGGGACGTGTTCAGAGCTTGTATTGCCCTTAATATGCCCTGATTTTGAGGTTGCACTGATTGGGGTCTCCGAAGGAAAATACACACCCACAATCCCCCATTGAACATGTGAACTGTAGAGCAACTAGTAAACAAGAACTGATGTGTTTGCTCATAACTCATCCATCATGAACGTCCAAGGCACCGAGTCCAACCCCTTTCGGAACCCTTCAAATCGTCCAAGAACACCCACTCAACTGGGCAGAAGGAACCCCAACCATTAGACCATCTTTCGCAGCGCCTATTGATGAAAATGCTGAACTGAACTAAACCGATTCACCCACCTCACCCTTGTTGTGGATCGGTCTTCTCTAAGCTCGGTGTGTTTGCGGACGGTCTTTCTCCCAGCCACTGCTGCCATCATCTGCAGCGCATTGGTGCGCCTCATCCGCCGCGCATGCAGCGCGTGAAGGCGACGCGGCCCACGTGAAGGGGGCGAAGCTCGAGAAGTGCACCCGAGTGCACCGCGAAGATCCTCCCTCATCATGGAGACAAAGCCATGTTTGGAACATGAAAGGGTGCCTGAAAGGATGATGGCGTGATGGTTACAGCGATGGCATGGCCCCCATTTTCGGATGAATTCCAAACACCGCACAGTTGACTGTTGACCGAAAAAAACGATTTCCACGACTTGCATGACTATTTCAGGGAGGAAAATCAATAGGTCACGTCACCCAGCCACGGCCACCTCTTCAGGTCTCCCCCGTCCTTGGACCGCCCGGCCGGGCACCAATGCCCCCCTAAGGCCGGGCATCCCTGCATCCCGATACTCAAACGTTGCGTCAGCGCAATGGGACACACGTTCGCCATGGCCTCAGGCGACCCCGCGGTTTCAGAGGGCAAGTCGGTCTGAAGAGAGACGGTCTGGGCGAGTACAGCAAGTGCAGCCACAGGTCCAGGACGTCGAAAGCAGAAACAAATGGATGTTTGCGCCAAGCAGTTTGTGAAACAAGAAAAGAGGACCCGTAACAGTCCCGCAGTTCTTTTTTGCCTTCAAAAGGCTTCAAACAACCCCCTGCTTCTTGTTGGGACTGGCTTTCCAGATGTTCCCTTGAGGGGCCATCCCTTCATGGTTGTCAACGACCAGCATCTGGACCATCTGTTCTAGGTGCGATTCTCAGTTTTCCACAGTTTGGGGTCCTTTGGCCTCTATTTCCTGGAGGCAAGTTTCAAGAAAATAAGTTCCACGACTTCATGAATGTCACGAGAACTGCCCCTGCGCAGCATAGGTTTCTGCAGATGAGGGCAAAGTGCCATCGCTGCAAACAACGAAGCAGCCTCCGAACATGATTGCGGAAAAGATCCTCTACAGAACTGTCGCAATCCCGATTTGAATCCCGATTTGGCCTTGTGATTACAATCCCTACCTCAAGAGTTCACCCCCGAAGAAGTTCCCGGGCTCAGAGCCCGAAGAGTTGGAGAACCCTCTAACAAATAACAGCGCCCAAGGATCCTTCGAGCACGAACATGGAATTGCAAAAACGGAAACTTCACCCCTAGTTTCCAAATGCCCATGTATGTTTGTATGTTTGTATGTATGTATGCATGCATGTATGTGTGTATGTAAGTATGTGTATGTATGTATGTATGTATGTATGTATGTAATGTAATGTAATGTAATGTAATGTAATGTATGTATGTATGTACCTGAATCTTCCTAGGGCTGCACTTTTTGCGCCTCCAACCTAGAAGGCGCCTCTAGGAACTGAGAGGCAAGTTTTTGGCAAGAGGCGATTCTTGTTTTACAATGTTTTACATAGATTTCTCCCCAGTTATGTTGATAGAACATATGATAACCGTGATAACAATGAAACTTATACACTTAACATATAGGAAAAACAGCCACAAACCCCGAACCATGAACCAAAACATAGGTTATATGCATTCAAAAGGTTCAAGCATGATAAAAACGTGAAACACATGAAGGCATGATAACTCACTGTGGAAAAGTGAGCGCACAACATTATATATGAACTGCTAATTTTCCACTTGGATTGGCCTGCAAAAAATGACCCCCACAAGTCCGGCTTTCCCCTTCAAAACCTGCATTTCAGGCAGGTCGAACCGGACTTGTGGGGGTCTTTTTTGCATGGAACATTGCAAATATGAACATGATATCGCACAACTTGATAAACACACATGAAAACATGAAACACATGAAAGCCACATGAAAAAAAACTGAAACATATGAAAACCATGAAACATATGAAAGCCACATTAAAACATGAAAGCACAGGAGAGCCACATGAAACAAATAACACATGAAACATATGAAAAAACACAAAATACACGAAAAGCATGAAAGCACATGAAAAACATGAAACATAACATATGCAAAAACATGAAACACGTGAAACAATGAGAGGCGGAACTTCCCGGGTAAGAGGCGGAACTTCCCGGGTAAGAGGCAGAATTCCCAGGTTATGAATTTTTGGCATAGTCTTTAATTAAGTCGACTGGTTGCCGCTTTCAGGCTCGTCTCTAATCGAAAGGGGAAATGGCGTATCAGCTTCCATCCCGTGTCTTTTCGAGTTCGACCCTGATGGCTGGTTTGACGTTAGTGAAAGAAGAGAAATATGTGGACAAACTTGATGGTGACGATGCAACCCTGATGTCAGAGCTGCAACAAACGCAGGTGGGGCTGTTCGTTTCTATATAATCTATATATAGGTATTGATACTCACCTCTAGTCAGCGTTTTGGTCTGAACATTTCCTGGCTAAACATTTTAGCTTTGTTTTCTGCCGGTTGCAGGCGCTCAGGTTGCAAATCCAGCAACTGCCTACTCCTATGAACTCTGCCTTGAAAGACCTCCAAACGCCAAACACCTTGGAGAGTTACGTCTTGCCTGGTGATGAAACTCAAACGGCTGGTTTGGGTTTGGACGCAGTTGCTAGCAAGCACGATGAAACTCTGTTTGCTTGGGTTTGACCGATTATCTTTTATCATGTTGATAGCTGTCGGCAGCAACGGAAGACCACCAAAAACATTACAAATTACAAGATTCCCTTCTACCAGAAAAGCACGAGAGGCAGTTTTTGTTCTAAGCGGCAACTCTTGAATGGAGAGGCTAGCATTTGAGCCTCTCTGCTAAGAGGCTGAGAAAAGCAACCACCGGAGGTTTAAGGTATGTATGTATGTATGTATGTATGCATGCATGGATGGATGGATGGATGGATGTATGTATGTATGCATGTATGTATGTATGTAGGTATGTATGTATGCGCGCAACTATGTGTATGTAATTCTAAAACCTGAGATGCTTTAAATTCTGCAGGTCAAGGCTCTTCATGTGAGCATTTAGATGCGTGCGCTATCTTCTGGTTTCTTTCACATTTCCTTGATGTTCTGTTTTGTACTTTGATTCGGGTGTTCTTAGGTGTTTCTTTTGCGGTTTCGCTCTTGTCCTCAAAGACACTAATGTCCAGGGTAGGTTTCATGCGAAAGCTGTAAGCTACGTCAAAAGGTGGTCGAATATAACAGTTAAAATGCCTGGAAAGTGGGACCAAAGTAGAGATCATCAGAGAATAACTCCAACAATAAACATCGTGTGTTCTAAGGGAAACCTGAAAATGCAAAAAACGATGGCGTATACGAACACAAGCCACTAAGACACACAAACACACACATATGATTCTTTTCTGGTTGACTGAAGTTGACAAAATGACAGTGCATAAGCAAGCAACATATTTAAACAAAAAGAAACTCTGCCAACTGATCTTGCCGTATGCACGACAACTGTGTTGCGCAACACGCAAATACCAAGCCATTAAGATCCAAGACACATGCCAGAATTTATGGAAAGTTTTTGACAACCCAAAAATATCACCTAGCTTTGTCATAAACAAATACAAAACCTTTCGCTTTGTAGTTTTTGTTCCCCACCTGCAAGGTGAGGGTTGTTAGATTTTATCACAGCTGTTCTGCCTCCGCCTCCGCCTCCGCCTCCGCCTCCGCCTCCACCTCCACCTCCGCCTCCGCCGCCTCCTCGTCCTCCTCCTTCCTCCTTCCTCCTTGCTTCCTTCCTCGCCAATCTGCTTCGCCGATCTTGTCTGGCCAGCTCCGGATCGCAGTGTGCACCCCTGGACCTCAACCGCAAGGATCCCCTCGCAGTGTGCATCCCTGGACCTCAGCCGCAAGGATCCGATCGCAGTGGGCATCCCTGGACCTCAACCGCAAGGATCCGATCGCAGTGTGCACGCCTGGACCTCAACCGCAAGGATCCGATCGCAGTGTGCACCCCTGGACCTCAACCGCAAGGATCCGATCGCAGTGTGCACCGCTGGACCTCAACCGCAAGGATCCGATCGCAGTGTGCACCGCTGGACCTCAACCAGATAGTTTGCCAGATAAAACCCACAAACACACAATCACAAACACACGACCACAAACGCGCAACCAAAAACACACAACCACAAACACAATCACAAACTCACAATCACAAACACAATCACAAACACACAACTACAAACACAACTACAAAGACACAATCCCAAACACATAACCACAAACACAAAACCACAAACACACAACCACAACCACACAACCACAAACACACAATCACAGACACAATCACAAACACAATCACAAACACGCAACTACAAACACAA